GCATAGAAAAATCTGCGTTTTCAAAAATACCCGGGTACGTGTGGACGTAGCCTCAGAGTGTAAAGAAATAGCAAAAACAGCAACCTGTTCATTTAAACAACTTATTTAAGTTCCAACATCTAAATAAACTGTTAGAGCAGGCACACATATTTGTCTTCAATGAAACCAATTTCAAAAAATACTGAGCGAATTAACACCAGAGCACAGAGTGATCATACAGTTCAAACATGTGGGGGGTTCTTATATTGTAAAAAAGCTTAATGGGAAGGGAATTTAATGAATACCAATTATTTGTGTTGGACTGAATCTCAGTCCTTATACACAAAGGCTGACTTTATACTCATTACATGCCACAAACATTGATCATTTTTATTTATAACTTGTTAAAAGTCTGAGATATGAGGGGAGCAATGCACCTATTAGATAAATGGTCATTAAAGTAAATACAGAGCTGCAGATTGCAATTATAGGATCACCTGTGCAATGTCACGCAATCAATCAATGAAGCTTCTTTAAATACTGACCTTTGGGAAAACTTGTGAAGCTCAATATGAGTTGGTTTGCAGTGGTGACAGTTTCATAATGACCCTTGCTTTTGTGGCATTTATTATTTCAAAGCACAACATTTACCCATTAAGCCGCTGACTGACGGTTTCCCATTATAAAGACCACCTACGTGATACAACACATTACCTTTATCGGTTTCATTCTGCAGACTTCTTGGTGCACACAGAAGTATCCTCACTCAGCTTCCCAATCGAATTTCAAGTCAATTATTGTAGCATTATCTTCTTCAAGTACCAAATCGCAATGCGAGTCACCTCGGGGCACTTTACACAGTGAAGAGCTTACAGTGCTACAGCAGGAAACTCCCACAACACTCTGCTGAAACAGAGTAATGGAGGGCAGATACTCAGCTCAGTGGAATAGCACAAACTATACCCTTCAAGGCGTTTTCTTTGCACTGTGAATGAAATATCACAGTGACGGTCACATTTAACATGACACTTTCTATCATACGCATTCTTGCAGAAGTGTAATTTCTCTTGGGTACATTTGTGTACACGGTGTGCTAAAATAGTCATTCATTGATGTGCAGGTAGAGCTTGAGAGATGGGGATAAAAATGGTAACGGCATTCAGACTTGTTCAGTTTTGGAAAACTAGTGCATTATAGCATATTATATATAAGCAGAATTTAATCTGGCTTCATTAATCTGCACTCAGTAATGTAGAATACCAAAATATTCTGGTATATATATCAAATTTATATATAATGAGAAAAATCAGGAGGAGCCTTCTGTTGATTGGACAAAACTGTGTGTATGTAAAGCTCCCACAGCTTTAGTCCAGCATAAAAATCTAACACTAAGTGAGACCAAGTCAGATCGATATTAAAGTAGTCAAATATAGAGAGGCCCTTACAGAGAGCTAACAGAAACTGGTTCACCTATCAGGATGCAACTTACTGAAAAAAATTGAGAGAAGAGTGGATTTAGGACAAGTGACTGAGAAGCCCAACCAAAGCTCATACTTGAACCTCATAAAAGATATGTGAAGAACCCCGAAAGTGACAGTTCATAGTAGCGTTTGGCCATCTGCTCCATGTTCCAATTGTCTTGGTATCACCCAGAAGAGGTTAACATACCCATAATGCACATGTGGCATAAACACGCGTACATATAGAACAAGTTTACATAGAGTAATAAATTATTTAGTATTACAGTAAACAGATAACATACATGGACTTAATACTATTTAAGCTGAGCAGCTACAACAGTATCACATCTTAACATTTGCTGGTTCTTTGCCGTTTTTTCACCTTAGACCTGTAGTTCTACATCATCCAGTTCTTTTCCATGTATAAAAATCATCTCACCTGCACCTCTTCACGCTGCATCGTCCCCTCACGACACACAAAAGAATTATTCCAGAGGGGGAAAATTAAAGATGATGAGACTAACGACTATTACGCTCAAATTCAAACTACCAGTCAGAAATCTCCTCCTGTTTTCTCTCATTTGATAATAATGAGGGGTCAGTGTAGCAGCTCCACACATTAATTTCAAAGTTCACATTATACTTACTGCAATATCCAGCTGATCGAGGGGAAAAGCTTCCTCTGCAAGCAGTTGCACAGAAGAATCAGCATTGACCGTTACGGACCCACTGCTCACTGTGAATATATACACGCACACACACACACAGTGTAAGTATCCACGTGGAACTTGTAGTCACCTCAACTACATGTGTACCATTATACTCAATGCAGTGTGGAAGAGCCCCATAGCATCCCTGATTCCTACAATTTTCTCTCGACCAGTTTTAATCACCTCACCAGATTCTCAAATATTTTAATCCCATTGTTACAACTGTTGTCGTAATTATATGTAAATTTGAGTGTCCAGGTGCTCCTCCGTGATTGGTGCATCCAGGGTGGATGGCTCGCACCGATTGGCTAAGGACCGGGAGGCAGCGGATAAGAAGAGACCGCCAGGAACTGCCACTTCATTTATCCTCAGCCCAACCAAACCGGCAGACCGTTCACTGTGTCACTATGTTACCATGTTGGTTAATGTAAGAGCACGTAGGGGTGGACCGCCGTTTTGTTTGATCAGTTTTCTCCTGTTTATGTTAGGCAGGGAGGAAAGTGATTGTCGTTTGGTTCAGTTCTTTTGAGTAGGTAAGTTGTGTTTATTCCTGAGATAGGCTACCTTTTGTTTGTTGTTTTGGCCTTGGGTTCACCCTGAAGTTATGATATGCTCCCTTCCTTTGTTTAACTGCACTCATTGTAAATAAATCACTGTCACAAAATATTAAGTGTGTGACGTGCTGCTTGGGGTTGAACGGGGATGGATCACCCTTTATGTTGTGGTCTGGCCGCGCCTAGACGGGCCATAACACCATCATACAATTAGCTGGTTTATCTATAATTGTAACGTTCTCCTCAGGTGTAATGTCAGCCAAGTGCACTCCCACATTAATAGTATTTTGTTTAGATGTGACTTTGTTGTTGTTTTTGCCATCAACAACAGCCAATAAGGAAAGCAGATCTTTACAAAAAAAAAAAAAAAAAAAAAAAAAAA